AACCATTATACCCTGATTTCCCATTTTCAATGGGTTCAGGGTATAAAAATAATTAAAATGAATTATCTGTTGTTATTATGCCAAGTGTGAATATGCTCGGCATGTGAATGATAGCCATGATAGAAAGAACGGTACTATAACCATAACCACGAAACGGTTAATAGTCACAAGTGCAGAAAAGGACTACGTATGTAAGTGTGTGTGTGTGTTTGTGTGTGTATGCATGCATATATTGTTGGCTCGCATATCAAAGTAAACGTTGACAGAATCAAACCGGAGACAGTGCGAAAACTTAGTAGTCCGGGCATTAGTTGTGTTGACCTTTAGAAATGTCGTACACATTTAGCATCCATATTTTGTATACCTTCCACACAACTCGACAATTAAAAACACACAATTTTGTATTATAATTTTGATCCAATTTATAAAAAATCACAACGCGAGTTAACCGAGACGCTATTATCCCTATATATATATATATATATATTTATATATACATACATATACATTTACGGTTTGCATAGTTAATACATATATGTATATGTAAATATATATATATATATATATATATATATATATATATGTGCATGTGTATACATTTGTGCTCCAGTGCAACACTCAAATTGATAGGCGTGATTCCGACAAGTTCAGCGGATCCGCAAGTGGAAAACGTTCAAATTATAAAGTCGCCGCAGCAGTTAAAACAAAACACATTACATTTGATTTGGTTCAAGAAGCGCAGCAACATTTTATTTGAATTGATGGCGGTTACCGAATAACAGTACACTGATTAGCGGACAACTGGAACTGATCATTCATTCAATAAATCAACCAATCAATCAAACAAACTAACATCGATCCACCCACTCATCGATGAGCCACTGCAATTTTTGTGCCATCACTTACGTTTTCTCATATTAATATCACAACACATCTAGAGGTGGGTGCGTGCATTTCTCGATCTACTGCATCTAACGTCTTTTCAAATATTCCATTCATGCATATTCCTTTCACAGTTGCATTTGGATTCAACATTCGTTCTAATACACAATTCTAATTATTCGTGATTTCATTTAAACATATCGACATATACATATAAACACTCTTTCGCTTGTGTGTGTGTGTGTGTATATATATATACATATATCGTGCACAAATTGTAAGTTGATGTTGTCAGCACCGCAATAGCCGCTCATAGTTCGATTGCCAACGAGTCGCCACAGCTTGGCTCTTCCAAGTGGAACACTTAGGGGCCTCCAGCTCCGGGCTTAGCTCCCATCCATCCATCAATCCATCCATCCATCGGCAGGTAAGTGACATGCATGGCGCCAACTCCAGTAGTACCTGGGCCAAAACCAATACATATTCTATTTCTCTAGCTCTACACTGCACTTTCTATTTCTCTTTTAGAATAGAATCCCTATTAATATTTCTTTTACTAAATACACTCCCATTAAGAATTTGATTTGAATTGAAATTGATTTTATGGTAGATCCCTTTACGAAGCCATATCACATTCTATTGATAGATCTTATCTCATATTGATTGATTTCAAATAATTAATTGATCATTGCATATATTTGATTGAATAAGAATAAGATTGAATAGATATTATATGATTGAATGTATAAATTATGATGAAATTGTAATTATGTTCAAATTACGTTAGGATTGATAATTGAATGTTGACTCACTGCTAGCGGTAATAATTTGTGAATCTATTTCTATTTGAATTTCTATAACGGTTCTCGCTGAATGTCAGATTCGTTCCCAATTGAAAGTGATATTTGATTTGGATCAGTGTAGTCTTGAAGTACACACATTTAAGTAGATGGGGATTGGGGCTCTCGTATATATTTATTGTTAAACAAATTCATTTTGCTCCATATTCGATTGCATGCACGATTCGATGGCATTTGAGGCGTTGTTTGATTGTTTTTTGTGGGGCTGGCATTTGCTGGCAATTGCAACAACAATGACAACGACAACGACAACGACACCAACAATAACAATAACAATAACATATGACGTTGCCCTGGGCACTTGAGGGTCCTGGTTCCATTTGTCCATTTGTTGGCATTGCTAGGCCAAATTGTTTGCCCTGTTGTTGTTGTTGTTGCTGTTGTGTTGCTGTTGTCGCCCACTTTCGCTTTTCGATCGATCTAACAATAATTTCGTTTCAATCAAAATTGCCCTATGATGCTGTTCTTGCTGTTGTTGTAATTGTTGTTGCATTTTCAAACACATATATATACTTGGGCCTGCATATGAAGGCGACGATAGACTCTTACAATGCGATTCACACGCGACAGCAACAGCAACAGCAACAGCAGCAACAACTTAACACCATGCACTCAAGCACTCAACCACTCAGGCACTCAAGCACCCACTTGCACCCACAGCCGCCATAGAAAGTGCTGAAGTGCTTGCCACAAACTGGCGCCCGCACAGGACGAAGCCAACCGGCGGCACGTCGCACAAAAAGTTGGCGGATCCGTTGATAATATTGCGATTCCAGAGCTGGAGGTGGATAAGCGAAAATACCGCCGTCGGCATCGAAAACTAGCGGAGCAGCAAGAACACCTACAACAACAACTACGACTGGCACAACAAATACAAATACAACACCAACAACAGCTGCAGCCCGATCAACCGCAGCCCCAGCAACCACTGCAGCCACAGCCATCAGTGCCACCACAGCAGGTGGTTACAGATAAGCAGCGGGAGGCGTATCACTATCAAGCTCAACACATGCGGATACGGAAGAACGAATCACTGCCCAGGCCTGCGTACAAGGAAAGAGAGCGGCATAAGGACCGGAACAGGGAAAAGGATAAGGAGAAGGATAAGCAGAGAGATAAGCAAAGAGATAAGGAGAGGGACAGGCAAATGGCCGAGCGGCTAGCGAATGCTCAGGAGCGACGCATACATGAGCTTGATAAGAATGTGGAGCGATTTTTTGAAGTGCGCAAGGTAGGCAAAAATTTGTTATCGCTAATCGTCTATCGTCTATCGCTTATCGCTGATCACTGATCGATCTTTGTACGCTGTACATGCGCAGCGTCTGGGCAAGGGCGCCTACGGCATTGTGTGGAAGGCCACGGACAAGCGACAAAAGGACACCGTGGCACTCAAGAAGATCTACGACGCGTTCCGGGATGAAACCGATGCGCAGCGCACCTATCGCGAGGTCGTCTTCCTGCGCGCCTTTCGGCATCATCCGAACATCATTCGGATGCTGGACATCTTCAAGTAGGCGCCAGAGCTCTCTCATCATTTCTGCTGATGCTCTTTAAGTTTACTCTTTGCAGAGCTGCGAACAATCTGGACTTCTATTTGGTCTTCGAGTTCATGGACAGCGATCTGCACAATGTCATCAAAAAGGGCGATGTCCTCAAGGACATACACAAGCGCTTCGTCATGTATCAGCTGATCAATGCGATCAAGTATATGCACTCCGGCAACGTCATCCACAGGGATCTCAAGCCAAGCAACATTCTGATCGATAGCAAGTGCAGGTAGGTATATTTGTCATTGTCATTGTCATTGTCATTGTCATTGTCATTGTCATTGTCATTGTCA